AAAAAAAAAAAAAACGGTCTGACAGCCGTCGAACTTTTTTTTATGTCTTTCAAGACAGTCGACAGTGGTGCGGCGAGGCCCTACCTTCTTCCCCCGAATACAACGTACGGTCATTATAGCTGTATATAGACTAAAAGATGGCTCAAATACAGCTATAATGACTGTGCGTTGTATTCGGGGGAAGAAGGTAGGTCGCGGAGCTCCAAGCATAGCCCCGACACAACGGTCGGCGTAGCGTGGTTCCCCGTCGCTCTCTCTGCTGTTTCATTCATTTTTGTTTTCTTTTTTTTTTCTTTTTGTTTCTCTATGCTGTTGCCCGTCGCTCTCTCTGCTGTTTCCCGTTAGACGGCTACCGTCTTCCTGCGAATAAAACGTAGGATCATGATGCTTGTACGTGAACGAGCTTGCAGTCTAGAGACAGTGAAAATGACCGTACGTTCTATTCGCGGGAAGACGATGTTGGCAGACCTTGCAGATGACCGGGCAGCACCGTTGTTCGATTTTGATATGTACGGCGTGCAGAGCTCGTGTTTCATCAAAAAACAAAAAAAACAAAAAAAGAGCTGGTGTTTGTTTTCCCTTTCAAAAACAAAAAAAAAAGAGGGACTCCTTCGCAACAGAGCTTGTGTTTGGCACTGACAAAACATCGTCTTTCGGCTACCACAGTCCCCCGAACACTACGCACCCTTATGTAGACTGTACCCGGACGGAAAGATCGCTTGTATACATTGACTGTCAGGGTGCACTGTGTTCGGAGGCAGAGGATCAGCTACTTCGTGCTCAGTCTGTGTGCTCAGGGAGTGCACAGAGTGACGAACCTACCCAGCATGAAGATCCGGTTCATGCTCAGTCAGCATGCATATATAGTCTGCCCTGTCCTCCTCCTCCTCCTCCTCCTCCTCAGTCATCAGAGTCCTCCGTTCTGCTGGCAGCAGAGGGAAAGGGGAGGGCGGCAAAATAATAACGAGGAGGGCGCCAGCGGGGCGTCCCTTGTACGCTGACAGACCTGCCATCGTGCAGCTGTCAGGGGCTAGGTCCCACTGACGCGAATTAAGCGATATTGACCGTAGATAACAAAGATCGACGGCCAGAATCTCTTAATCTGTGCAAGTGGGACTTTGCCCCAGGCAAGGTCCGAAGCCCAGTGCAATGATTCAGACAGGTACTGTACGGGGCCTCCGAGACGGGAAGCCATTTCCGGCGTACTCTGAGCGCAGCAGAAAGAGAACAGGCG